TTTTTTTTCTTCATAAATTATTGATATGTGTTCCAGAAAGTTTAACATTGTACATAAAATTAACAGCAATGCTACCTTTAGGTATTGCTAGTCTTGCATGGCTGAGGATTTTTCTCTAAGCACTTCAGACCTAAATGTAAATAAATATAAAATTGCATTCACATTACAGGGAGGATTCATCCTCTTGCTTGTCTTGAGGTACCTGGTTGAAGCTACTCATTTGGGCATTCTGGTAAAAGACACATCTTCAGAAGGTGAGGAAATTCACCTGTCTTAGGATAACCTGAGAAATCCTCCCTCTACACACTCAGACACTCTGCTAAAGTTTCAATGTTCAGGTTAGGTGAGGTTAATCCCAACTGAAAGAACCCATGGGCTCACACACTTTTAAATGTGCAGGCAAATGTATTTGTGCTTAATAAAGTCAGACTATGCTCATAGCCAGGGAAAACAGAGCTGACAACAGCAATTATAAAAAATGTCTGGTTTACAAAACAGAATTCATGCACATTCACCTAGTCTTTTTTATTCTTTTAAAACATATGGAAAAAAGCTTTACTCCAAGTAAATCGGAAATACAAAGTTTTCAGCACTCTTTAACAGGTGAAATATCCCTTTATACAGGAAAATAACATGTTGATTTGAGCAAAACTTGCTAAAACAAGAGTGACGAAACAGAATCTGTAAGAGGAACTGTTCTGTGCAAGGCAGATTACAAACCTCTATTTTAATTAACATTTAAATAATTCCATAAAGAAATCATAAATATTGAAAGGAAACATACCTGGCATCAACTCAGCAGTATGGAATATCTTCTCCTGTTTCATTTTACTTTCCTGTAATAACTCTTCTTTGGTTATTGGAAGATCTAGAACATCTCGAATAATCTCTGCCCCTTCTAGGGCTTTTTTACCCATAACCAAGGATTTTACATCCCATGTATACTTCTTTCCAAAACGCCCACAGATCTCTTCGAACACTACTGTATAGAGACGCTCAGTATCTGTCAAAAAAAAAAAAAAATCAAAATAGAAAATTAAACACATGTATAGCCAGCTAGGCAGCTGGTCTTGCAAGGTGGACTAGATAAATGATCAGAAAGTGAACTGCCAGGAGCCAGAGGGCATATATCAGAGTGGATAGAACTGCCTCCCTTCATTTGCAGAGGAGAGCCCAGGCTGCCAGGATCACGTCAGAGGTACTCAGGTTTTTCCAGCTGTCACTCCTGTGTTAAGAAAAGGTATCTAAGGGTCTCAACAAAGAACTATCTGGACCTACTCTTTCATCACCTTTCTTTACTATCCAAGTTAGGAAGCAGTGTCTTAATTAAAATACTCTTTTTATGCTTTTCATGAGAAAGAAAAGAAGGGAAGGAAGGAAATCTGGTACTTGGGGAATGTCATTACATATTCCATGTAAATTGAAAAAAGATTTAATTATTTAAGGGTGTCTTTGAACAGAAGCTTCTGAGTGCCTTCAAAGACATTACAGTCATTATTATACTGCTGCTGGCACTGCTGCATTTACATGTGATTACTCAAGCAAAACACACCCACTTTTATTTCCAGGAGATTTCTGACAAGAGTAAACTTCAGGCTGAATTTTGCCAGCCAAACTATCAGCTTATATGTCAAAGGTATTTTTAGTTTTCAAGCTATTTTTTTTAACACAAACAAACAATCCTTCCTTTCTTCCCCCCTACCCTGCCAAACAAATCTTTGAAAAAGAAGATCATTAACATTTAATTTAACAGTAAAATGGGAAAGAAAATTCCTTTCAGCTCTTGGCTTCATTTCAGTAAAGATCTTGAACAGTGGCTTTTCTACCACTCTGTTTATCTTTTTAAGTAGTCTCCTTTGAAAAGCCAGCTACTGCTGTTAACCATGCTTCAGTTTCCTTCTGTGTATGTCTTTGCCTTCTGTATCTCTAAAGGTATGTTTATTATTATCACTTTAGCAACGAAAGGCAAAAGCAATGAAAGAAAGTAGCTGCTTTTATGAGATTTATTTAGATAAATTAGGGACTACACTTATCAACATGTCCTTTGCCATGTAAAAATATTTTTCATAGAGATAATAAAAGAGTGAAATTATTCATGTGGACATGAATAATTTCTGAATAAGAAGCATGTAACAATTCAAACTTGAAGCTTTAACACAGATGCTATGAAGAAAACAGAAGAAAGAAGTGCAGAGCGCATGACTACAATACACTCCAAGACCTTCCCTGCAGCCTGACAAATGCTTACTGCTTCACCACAGTAATATGTTGCCCTGAGATCAGCAGATAATTCTGATCTGAAATCAAATGAGAAACACAGGGGACATTTCACCATCATGTGAACACACAGCAGTGCAGAATACATGTTCTGCCAGCAGCCAGAGTGTTCTACTCCGTGCTCCTCTCTGGTAACTAGAAGGGATGTTGAGGCCAAAGATCAGCTAAAAACCCAACATACTTGTCTGGAGTGCTTAACAGGGCAGCAAATAGTTCACAGAAACCTCTTAGCTTTAAAACAGAAGAAAAAAAGAAAAGAAAAAGCACCTGTACTGCTCCTTGCAAATGCTCCCTAAACAACTACACTTAAGGAAAAAGGTTAGCAGTGATCTTGGAGACTCATCAAACACACAGGAAAGGTATCACAGCAGAAACACAAGCAACTGGCCTCTGAAAAGCATTAAGCATCAGGAGTAGAAAGAAAAATACCCAAACAAAAAATCCGAGTTTGCTTGAAACAGGCAAGTAGTACTCTCTGCAAACTGAGAAGGTAAAATAAGAATGCAATGTTTAAAATTTTAGTTCGCTCTTTCCATTTTTTCTGATTTAGTTTTTTCTTCTATGTCTCAGATTCACAAGGTGAACGACATAAAATTCTTACCCTAAATTTAAAATTGAACTGATGATTAATCCTCCTCTTTTGAAATAACAGATAGCAAACGAAGCAGAATTAAAACAAAACAAAGCAACAAAAAAATTTAGAATATGAAAATTTTTGTATGGATCTCTATGATAATGGAATTTGAGAAGTACACTTCTGAAAAAGCTGATCTTCCTATGTACACTTATAACAAATAAAGACTTTTTCCTTTTGATTGAAGACAAAGGAAAATCTGCATGTCCCCTTATAATTAGACAGGGTAAACAAATACTAAATAATGATGATACAACTCCAAGTTTCTTATTCCACTGAAATGGAACAATCTCATAAAAAGTGCTTAACAAATACAAGGCATGCTAGTTTTTTCACCAGTGTAACAAGAAATAAACCATAATACAACTGATTGATCCGAGGTTAAGAATATCAACAAAACATACATTTCAAACTGCTATAAATCTGCAATACAAAAAGAAACTTTATCTAAGTCTCCCACATGAATATAACCCATCAGTGAAATGAAAAAGAAGTTCAATTCAAGTGCCTAATTATAGGCACCTACTCGTATCCACCTCAGTACTTGGGGTAATCCAGTACCCCAAGACATCCACATACATCTGATGTTAAAAAAAGGAATCTGAACAAGACTCACACCTTACCACATGAGCAGGCAGATGCTCTACAGAATCCCAAGTGGTAATAAAGACATATATTTCAGCAAGTGAACCCAGCCCCAGCTACTAGCCCCCATCAGCAATACAAGCTGAGAACACAACAGGATACACATGGCAGATGCCTGTTTCAACAGGGGGAAGGAAAAGAAAGAAGTCTTAGCTCCTGCAATTTCCAGTAAATTATAACCTCAAAATAATATATAAAATAAAATAACCTTTTAAAATACACTTCTTATACCAAGAGATGAGAGCTAGAAATATCTTTTACATAGCCATTATCAGCACAAGGTACTATCTATCCACTCGCTACATTTCACTGGGAATAAGTAATATTCATTCCCCAGTCACATATCATCTTCTAGTCATTTTTATAGTGACCCTTCTTCTATATAAAAGAACAGTCAACTCCTCTAGTGTTGTTTATAGTGTGCAAAAGCCAGTCACAATAAATACAAATAAAGTGACAAGAATGACAGGCATTGGATGACTCAATTTGTGATCTGGCACAAAAATATGCTGACGCATATTCGAAAAGACCTACAGGTCACTTGGCAATAATGCATAAATGTAGTGCATGATCTGCTCAAATCACTGCAGCATCAGAATTAGAAGTGCAGATCTACCTAGGCTGGGGGAACAGCAAGAATCAAAGCAGTATCTAAACCTCATCGTTATCAATCACTTCGTCATGAAGACAGCTTAAGACAGAAGATTATGACTTCATGAATGCATATGGAACTTGTTCTTTTAGAAGGTTATACACCTTCTGAATTTATTAAAATTATGTCATTGTGATTCTAAAATAATCTCTAGTTTATCAAGGAGATGGGGTTTGTAGGTATGGAAGCTCCTTTTAACCATAACTCATCTTAACCATTGGGTTTGAGTTCTTTGTTTGCACCTCAACTTGGCATCAAGCTTCCCAGATGAAATACACCTATGATTTATCCTTCTGCTAGGAGTCTAAAGAGAATTTTAATTGTGTGCATTCATGTATTTCAATATATATAACTCTGCAAGACGTTTTGTTTTGGGGTTTTTTAGTTTGTTTGGTTTTTGGTTGTTTTGGGTTTTTTTTGTAAGGATAGAGAAATTATTAAAGGGAAGAATTTTAATTTAAGCAACAGGTTTCTTGTATTCAAATGTAGAAGAGAACCATTTTCAGTACTCAATTTAGCCAAATTCAATCACAATCAGTCAATTTTCACCAACATTTTGGTATAAGACTAAGGAAATCTCTTTAGATTTTTGTTACTATCAATACTGAATGAACACATAGATGACTATGACTTTGCTCTCCTATCAGTCTTTCACAATATTCCTTTAATCTCTTTAGGGTATGCAACAGTGCAAATAACCACACAAATTACTGAAATGCTCCACTGGGGTACAAGAGATAAATATAATTATAAAACAGAATATAATTACAGAAGTGCAATTTTTTTGCTTTGCTCTTTGCAACTTAATTGGTGGCATTTAGCACAGTTTAAACTGCTAACTTGCAAACAAATCTGTAAAAGGGCTGAAATGGTGGGGCTAATCAAGACTCCAGAGAGCATTAGATGTTTCCTCTATTAATGGAGTTACAGTAATAGTATTCATATATTTTATCATTTCTGTATTTAAATATTGCACAGGCCTTTGGGTGTTTATTCTCCCACTGTAACAGCTGAGCAATGCTAAAGAACACAGGATTTAAACACAGTAGTGGCAAAGTCAAAAGTGACAGGTTTCCCATCAGAAAGACAAACTTTGTCAAGTCTTGAGTACCACACGCAGAACTTAGTCAATGGTCCTCACGCCCACCTATTTCAGCATCAGCAAAATCATGAACTCATGGTTCTTTTCCCTCTCTCTATCTATCCAGTATACAAAAGACATGGCTGAGCAGCTCACTGACCAGTTGTGCCAAGTCTGTGAGACTCAGGAGTATAACAAATGCTGCAGCACTCCATGAAAGCCAGGGAATGGATGACTTTCAGTAAGTCACCGCGCTTTAAAAAGATCTCTCATCAATCCTGCTGCTCTACAACCTCTCTCCCCACAAGCAGTACATGCTCTTAGCTCATTCAGTTACACAAGTGAACTAATTCTTGAAATATCCATATAGTATATATCCATATAACTGAGGATATGAGTATCAAACAGTGGGACATTCCACACATTTCCAAATGGTATGTGGACTATCACAGAGTTTAGGAAGCACCACTGGCAAGATAAATCCCACTTGGCTAGCCAAAAAGTTGCAAGATTCTGCTGGTGGCTTTGGTAAGCAGGAAAAGAGAAAAGAATGGGAAACCAATGGCCTCTGAACAGCAAACTTAGAATGGAATAAGGAACATCCTCTCAACACAAAGAAGTCAAGTGCATTTACCAATTATGATTTCATCAAAAAAAACCCCCAACCAAACACAAAAATAAAAATGATTGCTGAGGGAGCAATAGTCTATGTCA